AAGAATCTCTTGATTATCAGTTAGTTTTCTAGCTAAATATAGCATTTGCAAGCCATTAGAGACTTAAGATGAAATATGTTTGATATGATTATTCTAGGTTAGCATTTCATCAAAATGAACCCCCAATAACTTAGTAGAAGGCTTATGTTCAATAGGTCTATTATCCAACTCTAGATCCATGAACTTGGCATTTGCCAAATCTTGCCGCGAGCCAATTGTCATATAACTAGTTTTAAAAGTATTGCAACTCAATCGAACCCTCACGAAAAACGTTTGGTTCGATTGTGTTCGATTATCGAGTTTAATCGAACCCAATCGTTCGATAAAGTTCGATTACCGAACAGTGCGAGTGGTTACGGCGGGAATACCACCCCCCCCCTCCCCCCCCGGGGGGTAAAGAAACACGGGTTCAATTCACCTTCCCCATCAATTTTCTTTCCTTGAGGTATGATTTAAACGTAACATCCATCATAATGCATTTCAATTTTATTTTTCAGTTTTTTCTCCCACCTCTTTCACATCGTTTCCCAGCAACTTTTTTTGGACAATTCCATTTGAATTCATTGGATCGGNATGTCGAGAAGGTGCGCAATTGAATACATTATACTCCTTGCAGATCTAATGCGGAGTTTGTACGTTCACGTGTTTTGGAGCAGTCCCAATACAACATCACAATAGTCAAAGTAGGGCTGGACAGGTGAATATCAAATAGTTTTAAGAATCTCTTGATTATCAGTTAGTTTTCTAGCTAAATATAGCATTTGCAAGCCATTAGAGACTTAAGATGAAATATGTTTGATATGATTATTCTAGGTTAGCATTTCATCAAAATGAACCCCCAATAACTTAGTAGAAGGCTTATGTTCAATAGGTCTATTATCCAACTCTAGATCCATGAACTTGGCATTTGCCAAATCTTGCCGCGAGCCAATTGTCATATAACTAGTTTTAAAAGTATTGCAACTCAATCGAACCCTCACGAAAAACGTTTGGTTCGATTGTGTTCGATTATCGAGTTTAATCGAACCCAATCGTTCGATAAAGTTCGATTACCGAACAGTGCGAGTGGTTACGGCGGGAATACCACCCCCCCCCTCCCCCCTCGGGGGATAAAGAAACACGGTTTCAATTCACATTCACAATCAATTTTCTTTCCTTGAGGTATGATTTAAACGTAACATCCATAATAATGATTTTCAATTCTATTTGTCAGTTTTGTCTCCCACCTATTTCACATCGTTTCCCAGCAAATTTATTTGGACAACTGCATTTGAATCCATTGGCTCGGTCGGCGCATGTTCCATTGTTGAGACAAGGATTGCTCTTACATTCGTTTATGTCTGTAACAGAATGATATAAAAGCACGCGTCAAAACTAGGACGCCCTTTTATAATAAAGGCTAAGACATGAAAAAGTGTAGCCATCTAAAATAATCTAACCAATTTCACATCGATTTCCGGCAAATCCTGGTGGACAACTGCAGTTAAATGCATTGATCAGATCACTGCAATTTCCGTTGTTCAAACAAGGACTGCTCTCACACTCGTTAACATCTGCGGGAGACATAATCAAAGTAAAAATATTTTTGTTCACGACAGCACAGACATTCATTGCACCCGAGCAAAATGCAATACAGAGAGCAAAAAAAAAAGCATTTTTTTATAGTAAAGTGCTTGATACAATTGTGGGCAGATTTTACACTAACGTAATTCGAATTCTATATACCAGAAACTATAGGCGAATCTTATATAACATTTATATATAAATGTTATTATTATCTTTGTTTACCCTTTTTGCCTCATTAACATTAGACAACGAGCAGTCTCTCTTTTTTCTTGGTCCGTCGAACAAAACGCCCGAAACACGCAAATGACCACGCGCGTGAATGAAGGCGCGAGACAGAAAAGGCCGCCCTCGTTTTTCGCGTCTCGCGGCTTCGCCGCTCAATGCTCGCGTGCGAGTGCACTCCCCTTACTAAATCTGAAGGAAAAGAGAGACTGCTCGCAGTCAACATTAACATATGCTTATCACTATCTGATGATGCTAATTAAAAGAAAAATCTCTGAATATTGAAAGGGCATAACAGTTTCAGTCATCTTTGAAACTTTGAGCCAATACACTTTTCACTTTTCCAAAAACTCGAAATTTTACAGAGAATGAATGGCTCATTGACTTTTTTGCCACCCAGCAATTTCGCAGTTTTTGATGACTGATATTCCCTTGAAAATTACACAAATTGCTCAACTTAATCAGCTTTTTCAACATTTGCATTTATTTCATATATACGGCCATGGCTTCCACGATTTAAGTCGTATGCTAATGAGGAAAAGTGTAAACAATGAAGTCAGCAAAGATTCGCTTATAAGGAGAATAGGTACCAGATCTCGGAGCAGTGATTTCTGGAGTTGTTTGATAGAAAAGCTCCACTTATGACGGATTCGGAATTTGTAAATCTCCCAAAATACACCTTATTTGCCCTCTAAAATTTTGCATAAGCTTTGTTTTTCATTTTTTCAGGGTATTATAATCGTTCCAAGAGAAATAAAAAACAATGCTCATGCAAACTTTTGGGGGGCAAACAAGGTGCATTTTGGGAGAAATTGATGATGTAGACCAATCATAATTAACGCCTATCCTCCCAAAGGTTGTAACCATTTCTTTTGAAGTTTCTGAAGTGGGGGATAAGCGTTGACATTTGCGCACGTCTTAACATGATGAGGTCATTATAGGGTATAATTAGCTTAAAACTTCTATGCTAACCAATTTCACATCGATTGCCAGCAAATCCTGGCGGGCAACTGCAGTTGAATGCATTGATTCGGTCAATGCAAGTTCCGTTGTTCAAACAGGGACTGCTCTCACACTCGTTTATATCTAAAGGAAACAGTAATCACAGATAAATTGCAAACAAAAAAAGATACAAAAACCGACTTTTATGGAGGGTTCTTTAGTGCATCCAATAGACTTCAACGAATTGACCACCCCAGAAAATGACATAACATACCAATAATGCTCTTTGGTTGTCAACCCAAAATTTTTCATAAGCATTGTTTCAGTTTCTCTCGGGGCTATTTTAACTCCCGGGAGAAACTGAGCTGAAGACAATGCTTATGCAATATTTTGGAGGGACAAAAAAAGGACATTATGGTTAGAAGCACGTTATGGCATTGTCTGGAGCAGGTCAATTGAAAGTTGCGAAATAAAGTTATAAATCTCGTCTTCACAAAAACAACAATAAATGAACATGCAAGATCTAACATCGACAGTTAATGCATAAAATTTCAAGCCGATAAACAATAAAAATAACAGATAAAAACAGATAACCAATTTCACATCGATTGCCCGAAAATCCTGGTGGACAACTGCAATTGAATCCGCTGCTTCGATCAGTGCATGTTCCGTTGTTTAAACAGGGAATGCTCTCACACTCGTTTATATCTGAAGGAAATATAATAAAAAAAAAATTAACGGCAAATAAATATGTATGCGTTAATGACCAAACTTGTTCGGCTAAGATATATGCGTTATTATTTGCAAAGTTATTTTTTCAGCATTTTAATGAACCGAGAAGAATTCGAGGTCAATAAAATTGCAAAACATATATCCAGTGGATCCTAGAGCTGCCCGATAAAAACGTTATGTTGATATAACATCATTCACATTGTCGGATGATGTAGGATCCATGTAGGATTCAAAACTGATCCATATTTATCAGCCATCAGCATTCAACAGCGTCCAACATTAGGTGTTTAATAGGATACATAGCATGTTCCGTTTTTGGGGGAAATGCAATGCAAATAGCAGCAACAAGTATCTAACCAATTTCGCATCGGTTGCCAGCAAAACCTGGAGGACAACTGCAGTTGAAGCCATTGATTAGGTCCATACAAGTGCCGTTGTTCAAACAAGTAGTATTGACACAGTCATTTATATCTGCAATAGAGATAATCAAAGATATCAACAAAAAAAAGAAATGATATGTACCCTTCAGCCAAGGTACGCTAGACTTCACCAAGAACCAAAACACAACTAGGANTCTGCAATAGAGATAATCAAAGATATCAACAAAAAAAAGAAATGATATGTACCCTTCAGCCAAGGTACGCTAGACTTCACCAAGAACCAAAACACAACTAGGAAATGTAAACATTGTTCTAGAGGTTGATAGAGGTTTATTCTAGAGTTACTCGCTTTTTCTTATTAAGAGGTGGGATGGTTCATCTTAAAGTTACTGATGAAAACTATCTTCGATCCCCATTGATTCAGGGAGGTCTGGAAATTCCTGTTGAGGTGATAAGTGAAATGGACGATACACCAAGGAACAGGGCAATAATGGAAAGATACAAGACACTCGCAACTACACACTACAAGGAGCCAGGACAGGATGGTCAATTTGACAACTGTACAAAGGATGTATTGGAGGAACTGTGCGAAGATGATAACTGAGATGCCGAAGAAGAACTTGACGCGAATCTTGACACTGATTAACATCTAAAGTTGATAGATGAGAGCTCCTTGTACTAACACCTTTTGTTAAAAATTGTTTAGGACCCTTGAAGACACAAATATATGATTTTTCTATGCCCACTAAATTTCGCGAGATCAAAGTTCGCGGTCGTTATTTTTCGCGGGTCTTTAGGTTCGCGAATTTTTTGAAATCGCGAAAATCGCGAATTCAAGAACCCTCGAAAATTAAGGAGAATAAGGTAAGTCACTTTATTGATCAAGCAGGGAAACTGAAATTTTTTTGTGGTCGGGTAGCTATAAGGAAAAGTAAAAGTTCAGCGTGATACTTATTGGTCGACTTTTCTTTCAAAGTAGTTTTTTAATCTTCTCAGTTAGATATTTTTATTTTAGTGAGCTCAAAGAAGTAAAAGTCAATGATATAATACCTAAAATCAGTACAAAAGCTTTATGCTGATTACCGTTCCCACTTGCAATTTGCGTTAATAGTGTGTCACCTGTGATTGTATTATAGTTAGTGGCAACATTGTTTCAACTCAGTATTTCTTACTCGTTTCGCAGTCTTTTCCTGTGAATCCTTCCACGCAGATACACTTATATCCATTTTCCTGGTACAACGGAATACATTTTCCAGTGTTCTCACAGGGCGAACTATCACAAGGAGACTACAGAGAGGAAAGGATACGGCTGTAAGTAAAGACGATTTTCGATGGTAAAGTCAAAATATCCAGTAATGAGCGTGACGCATATTATTTATCTATATTAGACGTATGCTGAATTTACGGCAAATTCAGCTATTGAGCCCCAAGTTTTAGTTACATGTAGCAGTAAGTAACACAATTATTCCACCTGCTGGTTGTTGGGTATTGGTTGGCTATAATCATCTCCACGAAACAAGTGCGAGTTGAATAATTGTTTTATTTAGTAAAAACGCCCCCAAAATATCCATGAATCTTCCGGACTTTATTTTGTCACTAGCTACAAATGAGAAAACACAATGCACCTCCACTTTTCAGGCTAGCAAACTGCTGTCATTGAGTCATATCTCAGTCTAACCGAACGGACTGACTGAATGAAAAATAAATACATAAATAAATAAAACATCTTAGCGGTTAACACTTTCAAAAATCATCAGGATTCTCCTTTCTCGGCACCTAAAATGATCACTGATGATTTGTAGTTTGAATTTCATTTTTAGCGCAGCTCCAAACTAAAATTCCCTTCGGTTAGCTTGCAATAACCTCGTGTAATTAAATGAATTTAACTCGCTTGGTCATCAAATTGTTTCAGGGAGCCGCCGGCTGGTTTTGCTGAACGAGAACAGAAGCTATATCTAATGCCTGCGTTAATTGCCGCAGTGATTGAGTTCATAGCCTGTATTCTCAGCTAGTTGCTTCTGGTCGATGCATTCTTCTGACACAGCTTTTGTAGGATGAACAGGCTGCAAATATAATTATATCGGCGAGTAGCCTGACGTTGGCATTAAGAGCCACTGCTTTGCTTCTTTCGTATCTGGTCAGGATATCTTTTAAATGCCTTTTTTCTGCGTTTTTCTATGAATTCTAATGAAATTCCATCTTATATTTCTAATATACTTTGTAAATTTATTTGTCCAATTAAATTGCATTTTCTTGCATTCTAAGAATTAAAACGTCTTTTTCGGGCACAATTCTTCCCTCCTGACTTTCAGTGTGCTTTTAAGGAGGCTGAACACAGTTTCTTTAGAAGTACTAACTGTACGAATGTTAACATTTTTATCAGGAGGAGGTATGCAGCCAATAAGTGAACAAAAAGTACGAGGAGACGCTTAGTAGAAAAATGACGAGAAGTTATTGTCAGTAAAAAATTATTCTTATCTGCTTTTGTCGCCTTTGATATATATATGTAACGTGCGCTCAACGAGTGCTTAACTGTTGAACATGCTTACTTTTTGTCTTATTTTCTTAAAAAAAATTAAATACTGTTAAAATTTGGTAAAGTTGTTTTAAAAAGTGGGGGTAACAAATTGTCAGTAAGTTGTGTACTAGATTTTATGCAAACCTAATTAATTCGAAATTTTAAGCTTGTTTTCAATCATCCATGTTGAACTTACGGGTATACTGAGTAGGATCTCAGAGTACGGACGTCTCGGTAAGATAAAAGGACCAAACCTATTTAAAAATACGCGATCTAGAAAAGGGGATAGCGGTGGGAAAAAATGGTCTTCTCTGTCCCTGCTCCCGCTGCACTACTATCTCGGAGCCTATATAACAGGCTACAAAAATCGAGGTGTTTCTCGAAATAAGGACGAAGAAAGAAAAGGTAAAAAGAAAAATGGAAATAATAAAATGAGATCAAGTAACGGGAATTTTGCGCAGCTCTAACAAATGCAAAGCAGACTTTGATACGTCCCTTAATTATTGTCTCCGTTTTTTTGAAAATTTGATGTTTGCTAGTTCATAGTGTAGCACTTCTACCGCTAGTATCATGTATTTCTTGTGACACAATAACAAAAGCTGCTTTCTTCATAATAACAAAACACGAACGGTTCATCAGTTACAGGTGGCAGTCCTATCTTTAAATGTGCGTTGCTATGGCAATATCCCATTGAATCAGGCAAACATTAGGGTCAAAGTGGTTCGCTTGTGTGAGAAAAGAACGAAGACCTCGATACAATAAATATTGTTTCGACAAGGCAGTTTACTGGTTTAAATTCATTTATTGTCAGGAACGTTCATGAATGGATACGAATTTCCCCTGCTGAATGTTCCCATAGGTTAACAGGTTAGGTACTTTGTGTTGCCATAGTAATGTCCAAACAGAACAAGAAAAGCACTAGCAAGTGAGAAAGTTTCGGGGCCTCAGTTAACTTTCAGCACGAAAACTATAGACATTCATTGTCTTCACTATATGAGGTTAACTACTTCAAGGAGACGAACCCTGGATTAAATTCAGCTTACTGTAAACCTACAAAAATTGGGATTAAATTTTCTTTGTTTCCCTTTCGCTTTGTTTCATGGATTCAAAAAGCAACGAATTTGACATACATGTCGATTCTTAGGTGACATCGATATGATTAAGGACGGCAAGCATTATACATTTTTATCTTTTGCACTCCCCGCTGGGTTTGCTCAGTTGAGTATTTAGTGAGGTTTTGAGAGTAACGCTGTTTCATTTACCCAGAAATTTGCAGAGATGCTACCGAATTTCAAGGCGTTGTGCTGATATAGTCTAACCGTCAAAAGATTAGCCTAAAATAGGAGTATTAAAAAGTTTCTGTAACTTTTAAGGCAAGCCAAGTGTGCAAACAAATAATAAGCAAAATTCATGATATGACAAATGTGTTTTACGACGCTTTTTGTCGAAAAATATTTCAGTCGAGTCCTTTGTCTGCAACTCCCCCCTCACTAACGTTTAGGACATTCGAACATAAGTATGTTTGGGCATCAGCAGATGGTTAAATTAAGAGATGAATGGTTTAACTTAGTTGTAAATTTTTATAAGGGTTTTTTTTTTTAATTTATTTATTTTTTTATCCAAACTCATTAGCCAATTCCTTTGCATTTGAAGCACAACGTAATCCACTGCATTCAAGATTTTCCAAGCGAAGGGATAAATTTTGATTTACAAACGCTAACTTTCGAAACTAGCGAGAGTCAAAAGAAAATAATCACACAAACAAACAAGAAGAAACTTTTTATTTTCCCCAGAAGGAACATTCTTGATTAATTAGAAGTTTGACTCACCGGAATATAAAAGTGATGAAACTCATTGCTGGCGTTGAACTTGTCCGAGTTGTTAAACTTGTCCGAGGGCAGGAGTTCGCAAAGAAGTTTGCCGTTGACATCAGGGAAGGCAGCCACATTGTAGGAAAAACATGAAGGAATTTCTAGACAGGCGTAGCCACAATCGTTTTCGTCTTGAATAAGATTCCGCCCAATGCTTGTGATATTCAGGTAGGAAAATTCACTTATCATGAAGTTGACATAGAAAAAGTTGCCAATCGATCCTTGACTGAAAGCTTTTTAGAAGAAGGGAGGGAAAACATGAGACTATTCTTTTTTCATGTCATAATATACTGAAAAACTACAATAAAGGAAATAAAAGACAGAGTCTATGTACCTTCAGAATTAGATGCAAAAGTGACAAAGATCCATAGAAGGAAGAAGTAGTTTCTCTGAATTACTGTTTTTTTCATCTTCTCGTGATACGCCGAGAAGAGAAGTTTTAGCATCTGCCTGAATCAGTCTTTAAATTGAATGCATTAGAACAAGCACCCACATCTACTTATTATATCGTTTGTCTGTAACCTTATACGGAGACAAAAGAGGTTAAACAATTGCCATCAATAAATAATATGAAAACTCGTCTAAAAACCTTATTTTAGAACAAATGGCTTGTTTTAAAAATGGCTTAGGGGATTTGATGAAATTTGAAGCAGAGGAAGAGAGAGAGAGAGAGAGAGAGAGAGAGAGAGAGAGAGAGAGAGAGAGAGAGAGAGAGAGAGAGAGAACATTATTTCCATGTAGACTTTTTCTGGTGATTAAACTAAATTAAAGTACAAAAACTTCTTTCAAAGACTTTGTTCCCAATTCAACGAAATAATTTCATTATTTGCCCAATTTAATTTATATTAATGAACCACTAAAGATTCTTCTGCTTAGTGTTCATACCACTGAAAAACAGTTTGCACTGACGTTTTTAAGTGTTAATTGAATTGTCGTTGCTTTCCTGAGAATATCAAAATTTGTCCATTGCAGACAAAAACGAAAACAATCTTCCTGTCAAGACTTTAGCGTGGGCTGACATCGCGTAGTCTGGCAAATTATCAACAGGTTTAATTGCGTAAACGTAGTTCAACTTAATAAATTGCTTTTTCAAATTTTCCGTCGACCACTGAGATGGAAATATCTCCGAGCCTAATATAATCTACTAGGCTTTAAGTCTCAGCTAACGGAGTGTTTTAAAAATCGAGCTCAATGAACTCTAGTTTCGTTTTGTCAATATTACATGAATAAAACAAGAACTTCCACTTTCGTATAAATACGTGTGGGGTAAATTAATCAGCAGTACGACTAATGATGTTTTCCTCTTGCTAAGTTTCGGTTAAATTACCTTGCATAATTAGGAAATTAACGAAAATGTGGAGATTCTAAGCGGGCTTTACTTAATTATGCTAATCATTCCTTAGTATAACGTCTATTCTCGCAAATCGCAAAATTTCTGCGCTTTCTTTAAAAGATTTAAAGCAAATCACATTGGAGTATGGTTTGCCACTGAAGACACCTTTTTAACTTTCTACACGAATAAATTTATCTCACACATAATATTATCATTTCTCTCAATGGAAACTAATTAGAGAGCACGCAGGTTCCTCATTTGCCAAAAAAAGATAAACTTAGCACAAATTGCCTACGCGTATAATTGAGTAGGCAGCTTTCGTCAAAGTTATCCATAGATGTGAAAGATGAGGAGAAGTTCTGAGTCATAAACAAGTTAACAAGGAATTTTATTGATGGACAGGGGTTCAGGTGGGGGGTGCACTGGGATTTTGGCAAATAACACATGAAAAAGATGGCTTTAAATAGGGGTAAGCTCCAAAAGAAAATAAACAAACAAAACAAGACGAAAAATAAACACAAAAATAAGAAAAGGAAATTTTACAAAATCAATTTCAAGTGCAGATGGTCTTCACAGTGACGTCATCAAATTGTAAAGTCATAAAGCGAGAATTTACGAATTCCTATTTACAATAGGTTGGAGATAAACAAAAAAATATATCTTTGTACAAGTTTCGCAGTCCTGTAGGATGTTTCGTTTAGAAAATACAGCCATTTGAACTTTCGAGTTTTCACAGTGTGTGACACCAATATATGAATACTGTCTCGTTGAAAAATAAGTGTCTCTCCTTCTGATTTTCAGCAGTGAGTATAACCATCCCAAGTTTTAGAAGATATGCTTTTGTGCTCGTGTGCTAGTTCTCGAGTGAAAAGAAAGAGCTTTTATAGAAAAAGTGAACTCCAGATGTTTTTGTTGATTTCCGCCGGCCATATTGGTGTACCAAAACTTTGCACCAATATGGCGTCTCCACACAAAGCTCTATAAAGATGCGTGAAACGTTAAGGCAAATAACTCGAGAAAATGTGGGTCACAAAGACATGAGACTTGGACAAATTGTTCATAAATTAGGTCTTTTATAGCATTTCATTTTCTTGGCTTCTTCCACTGGACGGTTTTATGTGCCGTGTTTATTGCGTGATAGTGAAACGGATCTATACTGTCACCAGAGAGGATACAGAAAAAAAATGATTGAAAAACGATGGTGAAATAGTGTGGCATAGCCCTTTTTAAGTGGAGATGGCCAATTGAAGCGTTTTGGAGAGCGTTTGATCGGCCTCGTTTACCGCATTAATAAGGAGGGCACTCTTTCCTATGGCGCGCTGCGACATGACATGCGCGAATTTGTAGCTAATTAGACATTGGCTCTGACCACTAATAGGTATGGTTGCATTCCCAGCGTAAGGAAACTGCGAGATCATCAGGAATGTCGAGATGAATGAAACAATTATATCAAAGTAATGCAGGGATCGTCTCAAGAACTACAAACTAACGTTTTGGTGATTGTAGAAAGTGCCATTTTTATTACGTGTTTCTGAAAAAGTAAACATATATATAGAAAAAGAAGCGCTTTAAAGGTGGTTAACTCTTGCAAGTTTTCGTATTTAGAAACTGCTGTTGTTTTACTGACACAGTTTACTTGGATCGATGATCCTGCTAATTAAAATTAGTTTTTCATCTGTAATTCCTACAACGAAAAAGGGTTGTAAAAAGCACAGACAAAGGAGGTTTGAAATATATAATGTGCAGTTGTGAATAAATACTGTATATTCAAGGACCAAATTCAAGTTTCTTTTTTTTTCTCGGGTATTCAACAACTTTCTCCCCTAGACCTTCATAGAAATTAAGAACCTAGCCTTAAATTGCCGATAACTAGCCCAGAATAAAAGGAAATTTTATCTATGCTTTTCAACCCGTTATTTAAACGCAGTTTAGCCATAAAAAAACCGGTTCTAGACCATTTTCAGTTTTCCAGTCGCTGCTATCCTGATCATCTTTCATCGAGAGCAATTTCATAAACTGGTCTAGACAGACAAACTTTATCTTCTCTAAAAATAACCCACTTGGTTAAGGGGTCTGGATTACTGTCCAATGATAAAACGCCACGGCTACTAAGTTATATTAAACGGTTTCAATAACCCACGCAAAATGCTTTATGTCGGGGAAGAAATAGGTGATGCTTAACTTGATTATTTTGTGATTAAATATTAATTAGAAATTGTAATTTGTAGCGCAAAGAAGTTAGATTTCGTGACATTAGATTTCACAATAATGTAGACAAAGTCCGAGTATATTTACGATAAAAAAAGAGGTAACTTCATGCATTTTCTAAAGCTAAATAAGGCGAAAGAACGTGCGATTTTGTAATAATTTGATCAAAAAGTTAAACGCTAAAAGATTTTTAAAATACATCCAAAAAACATTTCAAAAAGTGAACGACGTTTCGGCGCCACGTTACGCCATTATCAAGTTGAAAAGTGAAAAAGTATAAGGTGTAAAACGAATATATAGAATTTTAAACAATACATAAAATATTTGCGGGTCCAATGGGTATAATTCCCAAGGTAAGAAACACAATAAGGGACAAAAAAAAAAATGTACGAAAGTGTCGCGTAAATAGTTTGGCGCGAATGGAGTCGGCTTGCGTGTTAAGAGAAGGCTTGATGTCCTTTATGAATAACATCTCGTAGACTAAGTAATCAAAATTGCAGTTACATTTCCTCAGAACTTTGAAAAGATGGTCGTTCTTTGTTCTGTTGTTGCCATGCTGTGTTTCAAGGTGTTTCCCGGTGGCTGAGAAACGGTGTTCACTTATGCTTTGATGTAACTGTCGGGCAGTGTACCCGACATAATTTGCATCGCACAAATCACATTGAAATAAGTATACAACGCATTGAGTGTTGACGATCGGGGGCTTGTTTTCCTGATACTCAGGGTTTGTGACAGTTTTCTGCTTGTAAAGACGGGTTTTACACGATGGTTAACTGTGCGTACCGTCTATCTTCAACCAAAGAGGGTTTTGCAAAAGAATGCAACAAGTTACGCACCATGTTTTCAAAGCTGCGCTATCCCAAAACATTGGTCGATTCCACTAGAAATAAGTTCAGCCAGGAACCAGATAAAGAAATACACACCGTGCCTTCAGTAGACCCATCTGTTTACATAGTATTGCCCTTTAAAGATCAGCGATCAGCTGATCGCGTACGCAAAGATATCTAATCTCTAGGAGCCAAGATCGATGTTAACGTAAAACCCGTCTTTACAAGCAGAAAACTGTCACAAACCCTGAGTGTCAAGAAAAACAAGCCCCCGATCGTCAACACTCAATGCGTTGTATACTTATTTCAATGTGATTTGTTTGAACCAGCAAGCGGGGTTATAAAAATTCCGCAACACTTTGTTGTTGTGGTATTTTTTTCGTTGATTTAAACGGTTTCTGCACACGAAAATCAAAAGGTTAAAGGCGTTATAACATGGTTATTTCCGCTTTGTTTACAGAGTCAAAGCTGAGCTGAAATTATAACTAAGTATTCTCAGTTATATTATCGCTTATCTCACTTATCAGAACTGTAAAAGAAATAACTCTAATGATTTTTACCGAAAGAAAAACTAACTTTGATTTGTTTATGGTCAACCTTTGACAACACTGGAATAAAATTGAAAAAAGTTGGCCCGTTTTATTCATCTTTGAATCTGTTTCCATACTGGCCATCGGAAGCCAAAGCCATTAACTTAAAGTTGAGAAACTGAGGGATATTAGCAATTGAATAAAACTGAGAAATTATTTCTCTTTTTCCCCTGTTATTCCAATGTGTCTTTAGGCCTTTTAACATAATGCAAAAAAATCGAGACATAGCTCCTTTAACTATGAAGTCAAGTGAGGTAAAATACCTCAACTTCATCAGGT